TGGTGAAGCTTCTTTCTGCAGACGCAACTCTCACTGGAGCTGTGAGTAGCATTCCAAGAACAATGGACACGTTAGGATACACGGGCCTGACTACTCTTGTGAATGAATCGCGGAGTTCCAAGAGCATCAAGTGGCTCTGGTCGAAGCGTAGCCAGACTGCAAAGCTCATCGACAAGGTCGTTGATCTATTGAGGTTAACCTTGGTAAAAGGTGTCTAAACATTGCACGGGTACCCTCGATGATTAGGATTGTCACCCGTTCATAAATAGTATTGATAGTACATATTTCAGACGCTTCGTAGATACTGCAAACTGGTCTTAATATGGACACTGTTTTGTCCATGTTATAAACATGAGATGTTTGTCCATGTTATAAACTTGAGATAAAGTTGAGATTTTTGTAATTAATAAAACTTAATAGGAGCTAAAACGGCTCTTTTCCGTAAGTCAAAAGCACCAGGTCACACTCTCATAGTATCAATTGGCGTCTTGGCTCTGGGTATTTGTGGTATAGCCGCATAAACAAGTACCTCGTACTTCGAATATATTTACACATTTCTATGCGTCCACGTTTTGTTTAATTCAAATGTGGCAACCCTATCAATGACTCGGTAATGAACATACACGACATGATCAAGGGAGACGAGAGAGGGAAAGGGATGAAAATGAGATAGACCCTTCTACGCGGACGTCTTTCTCACCTCCTCGAGTGCCTGCAAGCGCGAGGATTTCATGCGGAAAGGATGGAGGAATTAAAATTAAAATCTAAATCTAAAATATACTTTCCATGGATTTGGTGGTGGATTTCGCCCAGCTCGGCCTTCTCGCCTGCCCAGAGTAGGAAGATCTTGGATCTCATTCGGAACAACTAGCAGCGTTTCAACGTTTTTTCTTTTGCTTTCGTTCTTCCTATCTTCCTTATTTATTCCTTCCTCTTGGGGCTGGGGCCCCTGGATTCTGCGGGGGCCCCCTGCGGCCGCAGGGGTACTCGCGCTGGCCCTGCCAGTAGGCAAGCTGAGATCAAATTTATGGGGAATGCAAATACTACGAATGGGTGTTTTGTCTCGTACGTTGCCAGATGACGATTTCTCGAAGACATTAAGGACAACAACGATACATAGTGCTTGTGGAGTTAATTCGACTACACTGCTCCTTTGAGACCACCGTAAGAAGTTAGTGAGCGACTGGTCTTCGAGGGAAACTTGGAACCAGGACGAACTGACTCGTGATTTAATTATGGATTGAGTATGTTTCGTGATATTGCATTCAGAACCACGTTCACCTCATGACATCTCGTTTTGGATCTTTTGGGACCCTTCAATGCTCATCCTGATGCACTCGGCTCTCGAACTTTCTGTAAGCCGTCGACACGAAAAAATTAACGTTAAACGGTACATTCTGTATATAATACCTTTCGATTTGCAGACTCATCTATAAACTTGAGGGCGCCATGGCGGAGCTGCATCAAGTAGTTATAGGTATTCGTATTCGTTCCGATGCAGGCTTAATGCAGATTTCCGCAACGGAAACGGGAATGACGTCACTGAGTACATAATTTGAAACCAAGCTACCACGCGTTAATGAAAACTTTTCGTGCGACTGATTCAGGGTATTTCGAAAGGGGGGAGTTGGAGTTCCGCACTGGCTGCTAATATGTTTGACACCCTGCTTACAAAGAGTCTGTGGTCATGTTCGAGGATTGCTGCATTGGTAGGTGATGTTGCCTTTATTTTCATGACAAGATGAGAAATCGCCATGGACTCGAGTAAGCGATGGAAGGGGTCCGACACGACCGACGAGCTAAGGTTTTCCTATAAACTGCTGAGAATAAAGTTCTCCGCCATGCTCCGGTTTTCCTTGGTCATGCAATGCCGGATGTATGACATGCATCAACTTATGGAAGTATAAACGAATACATGGTTCAACTAGGAATGTCAGCTATCAGCCGACGGCCAGTGCTTCTATTTTCCACTATAGCTTCAAGAAGAAATTTCATCCAAGACTCGGAGACGCCTGTATGACAGATGAAACTTCGAGGAGAGGTCAGGCGATCACATTCAGCCTTGAAACTAGCTCACTAAAGGATAATACCACCACTCTATCGATAACCGCGTCAAGAAAATGCAAAAATTTGGTACGTGACAAAAACACGACGGTTTGACAGATCGTTTAGCAGAACTCTTCCAAATGCTGCAGATTAGCACTCGCTTTTGAAGTCGAGCTGGGAGAAATTCAGTGCCACAGGCCCTCAGTTGCAGATTAGGGATGAAGAGTAGATATTACTCGTTCATGGTTCCGAGATTGCGGACGAGAGCAAGGACCATACTCGATTTAAATATTGGACTTATTCCAAGCGAATTGCTCAACTACGGTCATGCACCAGCCGAGCGGAAAATGTTAGAACACAGCCCAGGGCTTTTACTCGTGCATCTCTACGTGTAAGTAAGGTGCACGTAAGGTTTGAAACCTAGCAGTGAGCGAAGGATAAACTCCCAGCCCATGTTTGAGTAACCATTTCTAGGTCCTGGATCTCCAGATAAGATTACGTACATTCTCCATGGTACCGACTCTACCTGTTATAATCTTGATGTGAAGGGATTAAGGCATGTGCTCATAAGGTAGCATCTATTCAGTAATTGCAGAGGAGCATTGAGAAAGAGGTGTATCACAATCTGAGCAAGAAATCAGTCCTAAATGGAGGTACTGGAGAAGCACTTGTTGCATACAGGATTTAAAAGAAAACAACAACAAAAAAACCCAGAGCTCTCTAGTATGAAGCTTGGTCAGAAGCCAGCGTGGGGAACAGAAGAAAGGAGAGAATAGAAACGAACATGAAATAAAATGGGGATCAGGGAAGGGTATAGTGCTCAAAATTGTTCCCCATATAAGATCTCATACATTCCCATCAATACAGAAATTCCCATACACCCACTCATTTCAGCGATTGCAACATCTACCCAAATGGAGATTAGAAAATTCTTCCATTCCATTTACTTTAACATCCATTGAACTTGAACACTGTTGCAGCTGACACATCACAACCAGTTTTACAACACAAAGAAGGTTCTAATCATTCTCTTTGTAACACATAAAGCAAAGTTGCCCATGTGGGGGCAGAGAATCAAACAATTTTTAAAAATTAGCCACAATCAGGAAAAAGGCAGCAGGGCTAGACATTTATTTCCAGAAAGAACAGTATGACCACTGTGAACTGTCACAGAGACTGCACAATAGAATCTCTAAAAATCATCAAGTTTCAAGCAGATGAGGGAATGGAAAGATGCAAAGCACTCTGGTAATTCATACTTCACCTTCTTTTCAACCAAAGCCTGTATTATTGTGAGTGAATCAGGATGCTGTGTCCATTGGTATCACATGAGGCACATTCATTTACACTGCATCTGCTATGCCCACTTTTATGATGCCCAGGCAGCCAGCTCTTTCATGTCTTCATCATCTTCTTCTGCCTGCAAAGGACAAAAACTCAGCTTCATAATTAATTAAAGCCATTTCCCTCCTAATACAATGGGGAAATTTCACATCCAACAAAAATTATCCTTCCCAAATAGATCTCATTTACATCAGGTCATCCCAGTCTGTCTAAAAATTTTTTAAACCATAGAGACTTGAAAATGCAACATAGACAGATCTGAAAATCTTTGTGGAATTTGTATCAAATCCATTGTTCTAGTCCCCAATCACGTCAACCTTTCTGGTCAAATAAATCTGCCCATGAGAGATGAAATAAAGACTTCCCCTTCCCATTCTTCCAGAGAATTCAAGCACATTCTTTAACATGATGCACCATAAATTATTGTCTACATACGGAAAGAGAACATGTGCTCTTAATTTATCAATATTGCAGCACAAATTGTTCAAAAATCAAATGAAAAGATACATTAAGATTGTTCCCCTTTTATTCCCAGTGATGAAACTGCAGGAGATTTTTATTGCAAAATTGAATTATCCTAGGGCCAGTCAACTGAAAACAGCAAAACTTGCATAAAAAATTGTATGAATCATTAGTAAGTTTTAGGTGCACAAAATAGCATTGAAAATGTCCCTAGCATCACTGCTTCTGGAAGATTGCATGCACTGTGGCCTAGCAAATATAACTGGCTCTATTGAAGGGGTGATCAACGAAAAATCAGAGCTGTAGGTCAATATTTGTGCACAGAAATTGAAAACCACTGGATATTCATCACAGAATGGTGGCTGTTAAAAGGGGAAATTGTTGTCCCAAAGAGTATAATAAGTGGTACAAAATGCTTCATGTCATCAATGTTGAAGACAAACTTTGACCTGGACAGGCCAATGTTGTCATGTTAGTCTCCCAAATCTGCAGCACTACTATACTGAAGGGAGGTTTGTGGCCAGAACAGTGGCACGTGATGAAAACTTGCTGTCTTCATTTTTAACCTGAGTCAATACATGCCAGCATGTGGTGGAACCATTCTTAACAATTTCCCACTGAAAAAATTCCAAAAAACTGCTCCAGCAATAAAAGTCTAGATGACTGTGTTCTGGGACTATCATGGGGCACACCTGTTGAACTTTCTGTCCAATGGGAAAATGGCTAACTTGGAGCAACAGCACAACACAGTGCAATACACTTCATTGTGCCATCAAGAGCAAGCACCCTGGACTGGCAAAGGGCAAGACATCCCTCTCCATGAGAATGCCTGACCTCACACTGCTTGTGCAACTGCTTGTGTGTAAGTGCAGTGGCTAACACTTGAAACCCTGGTTGAGAGATCCTTGACCACCCTTATACAGTCCAGATCTGTCACCTTGTAATTTTCATACATTCAGCCCTATGAAGAAGGCACTGAGGGGCTGGCAATATACTCTTGATGATGATATGGTAGAGGCAGTGAGAACATGGTGTTACCATGTTCCCATGTTAAGGCCAATGCTGTTTTATGACAGTGCCATTAATAATCTGTTTACTGGTGGTATAAATGTCTTGAAGCATTTGGAGAGTATTTTGAACACATGCTTCAGGCACGGCCAATAGATATCCATTGTTCTCATTTGACTGGCCCTAGTATTTAGATGGCATTAACCCCTTCCAAATTTGGTAACTCAGGACATGATCATTAGGAATGTGAAAGCACACATTCCACTAGAGGTCTTTCACTGCATGTACCATGTACTAAAAGACAAGCAACAATGTGGAATGAAAAACTCCTCTAAAAGTCATTCATTTTGATTAATCCACTACAATGAAAACTGCTAAATTAACAAGGGTGAAAAATGTATATGAAAATATGGCATACTTTTAGAAAAATGACAGGAGAGCCCAAGTAAATGTTGTCTCCCTGAACCTGAATTAGTTTTTATTCTCTTGGAAATGGTATAGTACTGGACATATGCGAGATGACCCAAGAAAAGTTCCAAATTTTACAAACCTATTGATAAAGCATCATATGTGAGGCAGGAAATTTAATAAATGACACATGCATGAGAAGATATCACAAAATTTTACTCGATATTGGTTGTTCAGCATGCAAGTAGCAGCTACTACCTATTCGATGTCTGTTCAACAAGCACCTGTATGTATCTGGCTGCTCAGTTAGGCTGGTCAGGCAAGGCCCATTGAGTGCATGACAAGAACATACTAGCAGACTTCATTATTTGAAAGTGTGGAAGAAAAGCTGTTAGTAGTGTTCTGAATAGTCAATTTCATAGAAAATTTTAGAATACACATTACACATATGGGATGGGACATCCAGTATGTTCCCTGCTGATAATCCCAAGAAGTGTTCCGTCAACAGGCATGTAAAATTGAAAACATTTTTTTGGGCCACTCAGAAAATCTAAATTCACCTTGATTCTGTCACAAAAGAGACCTTGGTTCATTTACTTTTTCTCACACTTAACTTCAATAAGAAAATAATCCTTATTCCATTCAGTGAAAATTGATCTCATGGTCTTTCCTATAATTCTCAGGAAAAGGTGAACAATTTTCCATGGCTGCAACAAGACTTAGAAGATCTTAGAAGGGAGGAATGACTCACATGACGTCTTGCAGGAACTGGGCGAGAAGGTCGAGCGGGTACAGCTGGTTCTGCCGTGGGAGGGTTCGGAAGCATTGTTGGGGTATCTGCCATGATCAGTTCCTTGTCTAATTCCTCCTGCTCCAGTTCTTCCAATTCCTTCTCAAGTTCATCCTCATCAATGTCCTGACCAAAGGCCACTGGGTTGGAGATTGCATCTGAGATCTCCCTGGCCACTTCTTGTTGTTCCGCAATGTCATCCATCATGTCATGGACCTGGTGGGAGACAAGCATTCATAAGTCAAGCTGCCTTGGATATTATCAAACACTCAATTATGCAATGTAACAAGGACACTGTATCCTTTGTAGCAAATTGCAACTTTCTGGCACAAGAGAAAAGATAAGCAGTGTCCAATTAAGTGCATTCCACCCTGAAATGAAATGCTGATGACTTAAAGTCTGGAAGCTGACATTTCATTTCAGTAAATACTCCTGAAAAGTGAATTCTTGTCAATAACCAATAAGCAAGCATTTTCATATTCAAGAAGTTCATAGTGAGATTGCTACTTTATGGCAAAACATCACAATTACATAATAAAGTAGCAACACCAAGCAAGTTAAAAGAATGAACAATATGAAGGCTATCCAGTGCAACTTGAAGAATATCAGCATACCTTATCAACATCCATGTGCATATGTGCAGCTCTGAGAGCCTTGGCAGCTTCATCCATTGTGGTGAGAACAGCTGTGTTCGTGTTCGCTCCTTCCAAAGCCTCCCTCTGCATTTCGATTGTTGACAGGGTGCCATCAATTTGCTGGAGCTGTTTCTCATACCTCTTTTTTCGCTTCAGAGCCTGAGAAGAAAAAAATACCTCAATGGAAATTCATAAGAGTAGAGCAAGTACATGCTCTGCTGCAGCAGAACTCACAGAGATGGCAGCTCTCTTATTTTTGGTGCCATGCTTTTTGGCATTTTGGAGTTCTTGTGCAATCTTGGCTTCTAAGAAGTCCTGTTTTTTTATTAACATTTCCTCTGTCTCGCGGAGCTTTTGGATGGCATCTCCAGTGGTTGGGGGTGCATCTTTCTTCTTCCCTCCAAATATCTTTAGAAAACTCATCTTGATTGGTTACAGGGGGAAACTTAACTCTGCAGCACTTAAAGCTTGTTAGGGCACAACTTGTTGAGCTCAACCATGTGATGCAGCACACAATTCTCACTGAGTGGTCCCAATGGGACACTACACACCACTAAAAGAAGCTCGTTTGGATACTAGGGATTGTTGAGGTCAACAATGTGAGACACTTAAATTTCCTTTCTTGAGCATAGACTCGACAATATGGAGGCATTAGAACCTGACAGTAAAGAAAGAATGGGGTAACCATTATGAATGTGGAAACAAAGCATTGCATGAAAACAGGTTTTCATGCAATTAACCTAGGCCTAGGCACACAAAACAATACTGCACTTCTCAACTGCATTCACTCCCTTTCAATTACCCCAGTATAAATACTATATTCCATATTCTGAAGAGTCATTGCATTGTAATATACATATAGACTGTTGTAATGTATCAATGATGTACATATAAACTATACAAAAAAATATTAGGCCTACTTAAAACAGCATACTAATAGAACATACAAGTGACAAAAATGTCCAAACAAAAATAGGCCTACACAGAAAGTGAAAATGTAAGAGAGCACAGAAGTAATTGTGATGAATTTAGTTGACCAATATCTGGAATGATCTGAAAGGATAGAAAAGGCAAAGATCCATAAAAGTTCTGTCCAGTAGTGGGCCTCCCTTAAATGACTGTTAGGAACAAGATGTGGCAAATGGGCTGGGTGATGGAGGGAAGATCATGCAGTACTGGCAAATTTGGCATTTGTGCAAGTTTGGCTGGCAACTCTACTGCTTTTGCTCCTGCACATTCCAGAGTGATGGCTTTCATCATGTTACAAGTGACATGTATATTACAATCAGCAATTTCAACCCCAAAGTATGTATCAACATGCAGGATTTTACAAGAGTCATATAGTTCAGGCAGAGGGCTCACTAAAGGCCAAAGCAGTGTGAAGGGAATAGCACCCAAATTTGAAATCAACTTCAAAAGTTGATTTCGAAG